TGACTCCACTTTCATGTCTTCCAGGTGTATGGTCCACTGGAGGAGCACGAATCGTTTGTGGAAGAGGATTTATGGCTTGCCGAGCACATATCAAAATCTGCTGGCACTGAGGGTTTAGCTGGTGCTCTTCAGAAAATCCTTCCGCCTGCCACGTCAACTAGCCGCATTTCTGAACTTGTATGGCGTGTGTCATCGGTGCTAGAGTCTACCAACTGGCGTCTATCGGCCTTTGCGAAGAGTGTTAGTTTCTGATTTTTCCTTCTGCAGTCAACTCTATTTGTGTTTTTATATCTCGTTTTTTCCTGAAAATTCCCACTTAAATATATCGCTTTTTATGTACTCTGCTTTACAGTTGGCGTCCGAGGGCATTTTTGTGAACGGGACTACCAATCGCATCGCAGTAAAAAATCTGAAAATGAAAACCAGTGCCTTCCGTGTACCGCCGACTACCAGTGGTCTCAGCTATGACATAGTAGCCATCGTGGATCCTGCCTCTCGCGACGCACAACGTCTCTCGCACGTCCTTCTCGTATTGCAAGAAGCGCTACCCTGCAATATAACCGTCATTCTCAATCCCCAGCATGAACTCTCAGACTTGCCTCTGAAGAAGTGAGTTGTTTGCTGCGTTCTCCCTCTATCCACTCCTCGTTGTCACTCTCTGACTTTTTGCACTCTTTTGGACCTCCTAAGTTGGTAGACGATCAGTTGCTGTGCCCATAAAGTTTCCTTGAAAAGGCCTGCCACCAAATTAAAGATCGGAAAAGTTGTTTTTGTCAAATATGTTTTCGGTAAATCTTAATCAAGCCGAACAACGAGGCGCCTGGAAAAGAGAGTACGTGAACAAGCACCGGCCTTGTTAAATAAAGATGAAAGTAAATCGATCTCGAGCTCTATTCTCGCACACCTTGTCGATACGAATCACTGGGTCGATACTAATGAAGCCTTTCAGGTTGTCTACCGGACACCAACCAACTTCTCCAAAGGCCTACGCCAACGGGTGTTTGCAGCAGCTGAAGCAGTGGCCATACGGCTAACGAATCCCGTGCTGTGTTTTCAGAAAACGCTAACACAAACCCTTTCTCTTCTGTGGCCGACGCCAGGTGACGATCGCACATCGCCCCCACCCACTAGTGACAGTCGCTCGCTCCATATAAATGACAGTGATCACTCTATGCACCTGACCAATGCCTACAACCTAACCTAACACGCCGATCTCGCCTACTGGTGCAGAATGACAGTCCACAGTGGCCAATCGGCGCCCACTTCAGGCAATTATTGATTTTTCTACACGTTTAAACTTTTACTGTTTTTGCAAAATTACTGACCTGATCATGATTTGCCGAAAATATGTTTACTAAAACTGACTTTCCTAATTAAACATGGGAATATTTGCAGAAAATAAAAGATCGACTGAAATAGTCATTTCGGGCTTATTCGCCACTATGCTGTAGCCCTAGATTAGGCAGACCCGGGATCGGCACTCAGCCCTGAGGCTGCCGTGACCACTGCTTTTGCCGACGCTTGTTCCATTGCGTGACTCCTTTTGATTTTTGGCGTTTCGTGGTATTAATGCTCCCTTCTGTGTTTTTGTATTACTGACCGTTTCTTGATTCCGTGTCATATCAATGTCGACGTGATCCACCGTCATCCCCTCGCCTATTCCATCCTTCTCTTGACTCAATGCATGCATTAAAGCACCTTATTTCGTCTGTTACCGAAATAATAAAGTTTGAGACACCTTTCTTCCTTCCTTAATTTTTTTCGACTTTTAGCGACCTCCGCATCCCTCAGTCTTTATTTAATTTTCCCTCCTTCAGCTTCTATCGTTTCGTATGGGAGCCAACTGTACTAGACAAGAAGGGTCAGGCCGCACTGCCGTCCGTGAATTTCGAGGAATTACCGGGCAAGTCCCTTCTCACTCTAGCCATTGACGCTCCACACAACTGGATGGTCGCCGCGACAAAAACTGTGGAAGATCTGGATAACATCCGCATGGCAGACATTGCTAGCAGGACCGGCAGCCAGATCGTAGACGCTGAGTTTACTCTGGAGTATCTCTTGTTGGAGGGTCATTGTCTGGACGAGACGACTCGACAGCCACCGCGGGGGCTACAGTTCACTTTGGGTACCGCCGATAACCTGGAAAAGCATGACACCATCGTCATGGCCAATTTGGTAAGATACCCACACTCCTTCTCTTCATGATTGTGCATGCTGCCTGCTGTAGGGTCCAGCATACTCAAACTTCCTTTATGTCAACTCTGTACAGATAGTGAAGGCGTACCTTAACACACCTTATACTGACTAAAGGGGAAGGCTGGTGAAGCATCGGAACAGTTTATTCATTGTTCTGAGCCTTTAAGCTATTCGTCATTGATAGTTAGTTGGTTTACACTCTCTATAATTATCGCCTATTTTGCTGCTGCTATTATTTGACGACGTGCTCCTGTACGGGTTTTTAGAGCTCGGAACAGTAAAAAAAATATTCCGGTGCTCGACTAGCCTTCTTCTTTACTCATGCAAACATCTGAGACGCGAACTTTAGCATTTAAAGCTTATACTTGCTATCTCAGAAGTCCGAGGCTGTCTTCGTT